AAATGAAGACCTTCTGACTCCCAGGGCAGAGTTTAGAAGGTTTGAATAATTTTTTCTGGTTAGCGTTTTTTGGCGAGTTAGTTTTCTACGGGATGGGGACGCTAACCCCATCCCAACCCTCCTCCTTTATCCGGGCTTGGGACCGGCAGTAGCCCCCAAAGGGACTCCAGGCAGAGTTTAATACTATCTACATTTCAATAAATTGTCGAAACTGGTTATTATTGAAACGTAGAGCTTTTCACGACTCGACATTAAAATATTTACATATTAGAAATAAGTACGGAGAATTTCTAAGTATCCATTGAAGATGTTTAACAGATGATTGAAATGATTTTAAAAACGATTTCTGAATGGATTAATAACAAACGCTGAAGTACACCACATGTGAACTATAAGGTTATTCAAAGACTTTAGGAAAAACTGTATATCCTAAAGTAGCCAGTAATAAATTAGTGAACTGTTATGTTTAATATTTAAAATATTATAAACGATTGAGTTGCCATTATGAAATAATATTGAAAAATTAAGATCATGATCTCGCCTTTTTGAGTACGTGCAACACAACTGCTATTAACATTACGTTCGGTAAAATACACATGCTTGTATGAGGGAACACCCTATCATCTAGCTTACAACTTGCACAATACTGCTGCCAAACACAGTAACTAATTAACACGATTAAATTCACACATAACTTTTATTACCATAATTATTTATTAATCAACGGCACAGAATGGATAATAACTTACTTACTCACGCCTGTTACTCCTCGTGACGGAGTAAAGGCCGCTCACCAGCGTTCTCCATCCGACCCTGTCCTGGGCAATTCTTTCTAGCTCCTTCCAGTTGTCATTCTTCTTCTATTTCCCGACGTAATGTGTTATTTGTCCTTCCTCTTTTCCGCTTCCCTTTAGGATTCCAAGTCAGGGCTTGCCTCGTGATGGATAATGAATAGTCCTAATATTGATGAATTCGCAAAATTACGCAACAACTTTTCGTTTGACCAAAAACTGTAATACTCTAGAAAACAACGACATCTTTTCCAACTGACAAGGAAGCTCTACTTTATTAAACACTAATTACAAATCTTACTTATACATAAATGTTCTTTTCTTCTTTCTCGCAATTTATTATTCATTTTCAATAGTGTTAACTGTCATTTATTCACTATTGTTTGACTCATTAAATTTGGCATGAATTAGATATACCTTTTACGTAATCTAATAACAGTGATTTATTCATAAGTCTAAATAAATATAACAATTATTGCAAGCTTAAAGGATACATCTAAATAATTCATTGAAATACTGAGATAGAAATCCATTTCGCTCTCTATACATTATAAGTTTTATTATCCCTTATCACGATAATTGACGGCTTCAATCTACGTAACTGGACGAATTACGTTCCATTTCCATGTGGTCGTTAAGAAAATTCATTTCACTTATTTTCTTTTATTTCGATATCTATTAGAAGCCAGCACTAATCACCATGTGGCGCTTAAATAGAATTGATGTAGTATTTTTTTTTCCCTTAAGCAACAATTTTATATTACACTTTGACAGAACCGTCTGGATTGTTTCGTTAAAATAAAATTCTAATGTAAAAATGCAAATTCTGACATCTAGTCGAACCAGTTTATGCTACTTTGGTTTGAACTAATCAGGTTACATTAGCGCACAATTTACAGCCAATTATCAAATTAGTAAAGGAAACCATAAGTTTACTCTTAAATACATGGGCACTCATTTAAAAATACATGTTAACCAATCACTTATTTTTAAATTCTTATAATCATGCCCCCAAATTTTCATCAATAGGGGCCAGGAATTTCAACAACCGGTGGATAAATATCAGTCATACGGGGTAGGTCAAATAAATTACTCACAAAATACTTCATTTCATTGAGTTTCGAATAAAATTCTCTGATACTACGTTAGACTCTTTAATGTGAAAAAACTGGGTAATTTTGCAAGCAATGCTAAATGTCTTGTGGTTTTGAAAATGTTTCAGTTGTGAAATTACTGTTTAATTAGTTCTCTTGAATTTGATTAACTTCCTTATATGTGATTATAAGCAAAGCAGGATGATAATGAAATAGCAGAACTCTAATAATTTGAAAAATGTTATTTACGCTTTGTTTGGAACATGTTCTACTTTGTTTCTAGAATGACATTTATTACAAGACAGAATGATAAATCTCTATAACTAAAAAGCTTGTATTAAGATTAATAGGTTAAATTTGTTGAAAAAGGCGAGACTACAATTTATGGACGAACCAATCAGATTTGAGATGACGGGTCTTGGATTTTAGAGTGAAATTTATCCACTCATTTAACTAAATACTCTTTTGACATCATAGCTAACATCAGTTCGTGTTGAAAACACTAAATCTAGTCCGTAACCCTAATCACCAAATGTAAATCATAACTATAATTCCTCACACTGTTTTATAACCCTCATTTAGTCCTACTTAGTAGGTGGACATTTTCAAGATCATTTTAGCGTTACTCTAAGATCGTCCATAAATTATAGTCTCACCTGAACAACTGGAATTCCGAAATGTATCATCTCTAATATGCTATATATGTTATACACTATATTCCTTGTTTTATATACAAAGCATCGTAAACTGTAATTATTCGCAGTCCTGTTAATTTCCTAATAGTTTCAGTAAAACTGAAAATCAGTGTAGTCCAAAATAGTTGTCGGCGATAGTTCGTTTTAGAAAGTAGAAGAAATGTTCCTTTAATTCTACCTCTGAACTATCTGCTTCTTATTACATATATTCTAATTTAAATTCATGTTACCAGTTGCTACTGAATTTTGTATCCACAGTTCTAAAAGTTCAATCTCTACCCAAACTCATTAATTCGTGAGGGTTCAGTAGTTAAAAAATTGTATAATGATCTGAGAAGGGCACGAGGTATATCGTGCATATCATTAAACAAAATAAACACAATTGGTTGAAGACTTACCAAGAAAAGTACATTTTCTTTGCCAAACCATCTTCATTCTGTTTGAAACCATTTAGTTCTCGTTCTTATATGATAAGTTATGTCATAAAGACGGTAACCATATCTGAATTATCAATCAAAAGTATTCTTTCCCATACATCTACAATAAAGAAGATTCAGTGTAGCCATATTAACCCACAACTTAAAGAGACATTTCAACTAAAGACAGAAATCTAAATACATTCTCTGTAGCTTTTAGCGTCTTTAGAGTTGTCAGTTGTAATGATAAACACTATTATTTGTTCTGTTAACAACCATGTATGGTTAATGCATTTTGACTTCATGCCTGCTTTCCCATGAAGTGGATGGACAAAAAAACATTTTCAAGTGATTTTATTTTTATTTAACAAGAGTTTCATGATTCTTGAATTGCCAAAATCTTCGTTATACTAAACGTGAAACTTAAAATAATGTTTTGATATATAGTACTAGACTATTCTTCTGTACAATAGTTCAAGGCAGATTCTCTCCATTTTCCCATCAATATCCATTTTTATCATTTATTCTGCAGTAATTTGTTCCATCGGTCAAAATTTTATTAAATAGCCAACCAGTTTAATTTTCAATGAGCATAACTTGAATAGTTTTACATTCATTGAGAACATGTCAAAACCAGATTTTTTCCAAGTTCCATCAGATACATGTCTGCAGTGAATGACAATGTATTTGATCAGTTAATCAACAACCTTTCTTTTGGTGTCTGGTGTGCTAAATTTAATGATACCAATGTCAATCAATATGTTTCAAAAATCGGTCAAATGACTACAAAAGGTTTTATTCAAAATCAAAGTTACTTATCCACATACTGACTCCAGACATTCAAATACAAATATTAAAGCTGTAGTACATATGACCGAAGTTTTTGTAATGGTTACATTCCATACTTTCTAGATTGCATCAATAAAACAGTCGTCACTTAAGGACAGGGCGAGACACTAATGGAGTTATATTAGATTAGTATCAAATTTTAGCCAATCTAATGTTTAGGGCCAAAGCAATGTTTCTGCATTTGTCTGATTATGATTTACATTGGAGTTGAGTTTGATAACATGATAGAAACGGAAAAATATTTTGGTTTGCAAAACGATCACCTTTTTTCACTATGATTACTTCCAGTAAATCACGAAAATGTTAACAAACCAATACAATAGATTTATTGGCTTTTATTCAGTTTGAGATAGTATTCTGAAGATGTTTCGTTGTATCTCAATTGATCAAATATGTTCTCTCGAATAAATTTTAGACACAGTACTCAGTATATTCGCGGAATGCTGTCCATCATTTAGTAACACCCTTTTTTAAACCGTATAACAAAAAACTCCCATACTAGGACGAGACGCCTTTGCAGTACTTCTAGGTTTACAATTGTGATTAAACATTGATTGGTTATTGAGTTTGAATAAATTCGACCATCTCCACAACCCGGAACTTAAATAATATGCCGTCATCTTACTGAAAAAGAAACAATGATTTATTTTGACTGAACTGTAAAGACTTTCGTGTGCTTTATATTTTAATTGTTTGGCTATTCAGTTGGTCACTGCTTTTTGTTTGAGAATAGCAATTATTTGGGGAATTTTCTGTGCTTTAAACTGTCTACTTATTTTAAATACGTCACAATAACCATAGATTATGATTACTATTAGCTTGACCTGTTCTGTCATCAGGTCTACCAAATACAGGAACGGCAGTATGCATCTTATCAATACTTTGATGTTGGTAAACAATTTGTCAGAATGTTTCTCGCGGAAATAGAATTAACGAATCAGAAGTATGGCGTAAGTTAATTGAATATTATAGGCTATTGTAATTCATACAATGATTGATAATAGGGTAGAAATCTCTATATAAAATCAGTAGTAAATTTAGCTTTTAAACTGTTTGACAACTTTCATGATAAAACATCTTTCTCCCCCCCAAAAAAATGATTCGTCGTCTCAGAAAATGCTCTTTCTATCTCAAGTCATTTTTTATGTCATAGTAATGATCTTATTAACAACATGGAGTTATTATTATTTTATTAGTATTGATGTTAGTGAAAATCATTCAATATCCTCAATGGTTATAGGTAACTTCATGGTAAGAGATGACAACTACTGAATTCACTTGTACTTAAGCTGATAAAAAATAAAAACTACAAAATTTGTTTAAATGACCATTTATACTGATGAAATAAAGACAAGAATGCCTGCTTAAACTGCTGAGTCCCCATTTTTTTAAAACGTATATTTATTGTCATAAATTTTCCTGTTTAAGATTTGTTTTAATTAAATGGTTATGTTTTTTGTATGTAATTATGTGTGACCATAAAATGTTTATAACCTAGTATGAACTCAGTTACTAAAAGGCCCATACATCACCATCACTATGGTCCATATATTTTCATAATCCTCAACCCTGTCGAGAAATGAGGAGCTATTACTATGAAATTCTTACATCAAATTTATAAAGAGTTAAAAAGAGTCATCATAAGAGTAAACATGTATTAATGAACATGAATCCCTGTTCATCACCATCCAAAGACTTTTACAGATATTTTTAGCTATTGAGCTGATTGTTTATTTTTTGTTACTCATTACCATCAATTTTAATAACATAACAATAGTTAGTTAAATTTTACAACATGAAAGTGTCTGTCTTCAACTATTTAGCCATTCAGAAATGTTAAACATTCGAACGCTTTTTAAGCCGTGTTTCATTGACGAAACACTGTTATGACATTACACATAAAAGCATTGATATATATATATATATATATATATATATATATATATATATATATATATATATATATATTGGATTGTATATTTCTTTTTCTCTTAACTTTTAGGATGACAAGATACACATTTCTATTTTAATTGATAGTGAACGGGGTCTTTTATACATGGATAGTCTTCTGAAATCCCTTTTTTATTATCAGAAACCATTTCATTTTGACTTTAAACAATGTTGTATATCCGATCTCTGTGATAAAATCGGCGATGATTCCTCACATTATAAAGATAGAATGTTACATATTTATCCAACTGTATTTCATATTTTAACAAATAATAAGTCCAGCAGTTATTCGATCCATTTTCTAAATATGTGGAAATTGCATAATGTGGAGTATTATTTTTATGTGTACAACACGTATTTGGTAAGTCTGTTTTCTGACAGACACCATATAACAATTTCTTATAAATTGCTTTATTGAGGATAAACCATAGTTTATATAAACTTTTTTTGGATGAAGCTATAACTCAATTCATTAAATATTCCTCAAAATTAAATTTCATATCTAAAGGATCTACAGTTGTCTTGCTTTCTAAATTACTATTCAAATATGAAAAGGATATTAAGAGCTGGTTTTCCAAGGCTATTAGGTTTATTCAAAGCTTAACATAACACTCATATTTTAAACTTGGTAACATTTAAAAGGTTGTTTGTGAAAAATACTTAAATAATTATAACTCACTGCTAAGAAGTCCCACACTAGGACGGAACGGCCGTCCAGTGCTTCCAGGTTTTTCATGTTGGTCTAGCTTCAATTGACTTATGAATCCAACTATTAAATTACTATAATATCCACAAAACTCCGTTTTTTGATAACTTTTAATAATTCTTCATCTTATTCTGCTGTTACGATGGAAAATAACTAGTTGAAACAAGTATTAAACATTGAAGTACCCATTCGAATACAAATATCAAAACTCTGCATTCAACCAAAGCTAGACTAAACTCACTTTCTACTTTCTTAGCTTATAGGAACTAATATGTCAGCAATAAACCATGTTGTAAAGTGATCCAATAAGATACATATTAGATTATTCTGTTTGTTAATAACACTAAGTTAAACCTTTCGCTTGAACCATCCACCACCAGTAACCTAGAAGTCGGAGTTTTTATGGGACTGTAAAAGATGAATGTCATCCATTTTTTTGCCTTACTATCAAAAAGGACGGATAGTTGTACCATTTGTAAACTTTTCTTAAATATCCATGCACTTAACACTATACTCACTTCACTACCTCAGTTTCTCTTCGACGAGAAACGAATAAAATCTAATCACTGATGTTCCAACACAAACTTACCATTAAAAACATGGATCGTCTTTTGTCACAAGAAAGCGCACTAATCACAGCTTCAAGTGCTTAATAAACAGATAGGGAATTCTCAGTAGCTACACAGATACGCATATTTTCTACAAATTCCCTATCTGTTATTTTCGTATATTCTAAGATGACCGAGAAACTAATTTTGTCTCATTAAACTGCCAAATATTTGTTTATGCACATCTGTGAGTCCTTTGAGTCATTGAAATTCAATCATCCCATGACCTTTGAGTTTATTTTCATATTTGGTGCCATCATCTAGAATCTAAAACTGTGATGTTTACTGTCATCCTGTCATGAAAAGATACATTATTTGATTGTGTTTATCAGGTTATTCTTGTACACAACTAAAAATGAGAATCAAACTGATTATTCTGATCGTATTAAGTTCTCGGAAGATAAGCAAGTTCAAGCATACTGATGTCATTCCTGTCAAGTGGCTCTACATGATACATGTTAAAAGTGTATATGGGTAAATGTAGGTAAATTGCAATGAGATAATTTATTCTATTTTGAACTTTCAGCTTCATTATTGAAACAACAGTCGATAAAGTAAGATCATTTGGTTCTTCTATTCTAAAAATAATGATGTTAGCGATAACAAAGAAAAGAATTAAATCCCTTTTTATTGATGAACGCTCATGACAACTCAACTCTCTTTTCGAATATAATAGAAAATTGGACTTCAGCAACTTCTTAAAGAATTCCAGTAATCCAAGTGATTCTCGTTTGTGTTTAACGAATTAAACATTAAATTCATAACCCATACTAAAACACAAAGACATTCCGTGGAAGAGAATTTTCTTTGAGCACTTTATAAACGATCATAGAATTCGCTTAAAGGTTAAAATAGGAAAAATTGGTTCAATGAAGAGTTCTTTTTTCGGCGACTTCATTTTCAAAGCTGTACAATCGCAAATATATATACTTTTTTTTCAGGATGATAATAATCAAAATAATAACGATAATAAACTTCTGTTAGACATGGTGACAGTGAGGTAGAATAAACAAAGGTATTAAAAAAATATTTTTAAGCAGGGAAACTAATTATCGTTTGATTGTTAATGGCTTAAATTATCCTCAAAAGATAGATAGGGAAATCATTATTGGGAAAGGATGGTTCAGCATGATAAGATAAAATGTTTCTGATTCTTTAAAAAGAACGTTCTTCGCAACCAAGTTGCGAATAGTATTCTTCAGCCGATCATTGTTTACCAATAATCTTAAGGATAAATTATCTCATCTGACCAGCTCAATGTGCATTTACCAATTTGCCTGCTCATGTGGAGCCAAGTATATAGGTCGTTTGATGCGTACTTTATCCAAAAGAATTCAAGAACATTATCCGGAGTGGTTAAGAAGAGGAGGAAAAGGCTCAATAAGAAGTTCAATAATCAAACACCTTGTGAACACAGGTCACTCAACCAAGACAGACTCTGCGTTCAAAGTCATTTACAATGTAAGAAGAATTCTTCCAAAGACAATTACGTTGCATCTTCTTAGCATTGCCGAAGCAACAGCCGCACATCTGGAAAAACCAGAATTGTTTTTCCAAAAGAGATTGGTACAACCTCTGCTTCTATCATGGACTTAATGTCTTATAACTTTTTTTTTCATACTCTTCTTCCTTTATAGCCACCTGCTTGCCCTTCCATGTCCTCTAACCCTCTACCCCCAACTGGTTTATTTCTAGTTCTACGATCCTCCTGGTTACATTTAATCTCAATTTCAACATTTTATCTTATCATGCTGAGCCATCGTTTCCCAACGACAATTTCCCTATATATCTTTTGATGAATACTTAAGCCATTAACAATCAAAAGATAAGAGTATTCTTTCGAACAAACAATACTCTAAGATCAAAACTAGTAAGAATCAAAGATCCGATACACAAGGAAGAACAACAGAATTGTGTTTATGAAGCTAAATGTAGTGACTGTAATGCAACGTATGTAGGTGAAACATCAAGGCAACTGAATGTGAGAGTGAAGGAACACAAACTATGGTTAAAGCACATTCCTATATCTTCAGTTAAGGTAAGAAAACTCAAGAACAAATCAGCGATAGCATTACACTCGATAAAATCAGGTCATACAATTGATTTCAATGGCACAAGAATCCTTCAAAAAGGCCGAGGCCCTACATATAAGGGCTAATCCAAACAGTATTAATAGGAGAGATCGAATGCAACTAGCTGTCCCATGGCAACTAAGAATTAATAAGTAAACCTGAACTCCTTATTCCATTCTATCTATATCGTATTGAACTAATTAACAGATGTTACTTCCAACGATTCAAATCAGTTATCTTATCTAAATATGTTAAACAATTGACTGGAACATTAAAACAACACAAACTTTCAATTACAAATTCTTCCTCTTTGAATTCATTTTTTTATCGTGTTTATTTATCTTCATTTAATCCATGCTGTGACATTTTTGATTCATTATTGTATATAAAAAATTATATGTTTTCTTAATATTCACCGACCGAAGACAATATACAGTGAATGAAATTTCTTCTCACTTACGTATACACACAATCTGTTATCATAACACATTTCGTTTTCACACCACATGTCTCGTACACACTACTGTAAATACCTACATTAAACATTCTTAACGTTGATTGGATGACTTATTCAGTATACAGTAAACCGGAGAACCATGTACCTATTTATATTCGATAATTATATTTCCTTGAAAAAGCTTGGACTAGATTGCCAGGCGAAACGTTGGATTTACTTCAAATTCATTCACTGAGATTTTACAAATACATTCTTCCTGTTTAATGTCGCAAATTAACTGAGCTCCCAAATACTGTGAAACTACTCAATCAAATTTAGACGAAAGTTCTCATTTATTGATCATTAGTCTCTCTGTTTAAAAAACGCAAAAGAAAATATATGAACCTACATCTTTTAGTAGATTAGATTCTATCTTAAAATTAATAACAAAATAGGGGTCTAATATTTCGTGTTTATAAAATCATATTTTTCACCATTGATCTCCTGCACTTTACATACATTCTAGTTAGTCTGACAATTAACTCAGTTTATGTTATCCACAAATATAAACTGTGCTAACTACTGAGTCATGGTATATCTTCCATTTCTGATAATGATTTCAATGGAGTACTCAAAAAATTTACTGCATTTGAATTCCTATTTTACTATCACTGACCAAATTTTAAATTGTTATTCATATAGTAATAGAAAAGTTCACCAGTCATTGGAATATTTGGAATAGGGTAATCTCATAATTACAAGTTAAATAATAAGTAGTCGGTATCCTATTATTTATGTATTGAACACAGATGATTTGGGATTATTCTCTTACAGTTGTTAGTTAAATGACGAGATATCTGTCTAAAATACAATATATCTTACTGAAATATCATACTATACAGTACCCAGTTACGGAAACACTGAAGCTAATAAACCACAATCGAAATATCTCCATCGTAAAACCATTCCTTTTGGGAATTTTTGTAGTTTTTATTAAAGTATCAGAGTTCAGAACCATACTTGGTATTCCAAGTTAACTACTACATTCTAATATATATATATATATATATATATATATATATATATATATATATATATATATATATATATATATATATATATATATATATATATATATATATATATATATATATATATATATATATATATAGCTAATGCTTCGGCAATACAAAGAAGATGCCTACTAGTGTGAATTGATTATCGTTCTACTCACGTATATACGACAATTTGTTCATTGTGGTAATATAACATCAGATAAAATGACTGCATATATTCACAAGAAAATGAATGTTTTATATTAGATTGCCATGACTTCATCAATACTTCGTTCAATTTTGCTCAAATTACCAGATGGGACTAAATCAATAACTTTATCGTGTTCATAAATATGCGTTGATCCTTCTTTAGGTGAACAGTTATCATTTTTCCTTTATAACATTACATCATTTCAAGCCTATTTTCAATCTAGAGAAAATTCCAGTAATATAGGTTGAACGCGATTAATGTCATTTGTTTTTTGTATGATGTGTAATACTTTTATAGGACAGACTTCAATGGATCGTATCTAAACATCCTTCAGGTGCAAAGCCATTTGTAAAACTATTACTCCCTGAGATTCTCCCACCTTCTGTAAACAAAGTATGTCACCATTTGCTTTATGATACAATATTGTGACAGAACTAATCGGTATTTTTTTGTTGTTAGTCGAACAGTTATATGATTCGCGAAAAAGCGACAGAATAGCATCCTTTATTAGTCTATCTTGAAGGTCCACCAGATAAAATTTCTACGAAACAACAGCCATATTGTTTCTTTAAAAATAAAAAAATGTTTATGTCTCGATGAAACAGAAACATGTGTGGTATACTTATTGTGCTAAAATTACTGTAATCTTGTACTTTCAGTCTTTGTAAACTTGGTTAAAAGAGTATGAATATTTTTATTGTTATTCTAGTAGAAATGATTTTTCTTATGACCTTGATCTTTGTAAATAATCACGAAATTCACAGAATAATTTCTAAGGCATCATCCGGAGAAGATCCTGTCGAATAATAGAGATATTCACAACACAATGTACGAAATAAAACAAAGATTACTTCATGATGTCATGGTTTACAGCGTGAACTTTACCATGGATAACGCGATGGCGTTTGAAGCGGGTGGTACTGGGTTCGATTCCCAGAGTGAACATCAATTCTGTGATGCAGGTACATCCAGCTGAATAGTCCCAAATAGGAAGAAACGCGCGTCCTGGATTCCACTGCTAACCACTACCCATCTTTGCTTATACAGCTTGTGACTTAAAACAATATCGAGGCATACGCACAGTATGCACATATGCCAACAACAGACTGATCAATTGCAGTCTTAAACTTCAATGGGACTGTTTGATCTATATTGTATTTTTTCGGGATATATAGTATTTTTATAGACATGACCATCACAAAAAATATAAGCATATGATTCCTATACTGTATCTAGCAGAATTCAATATGAGAATTAATATTGGTTTACATGAGTGACAGTCAACATTTCACCTACATTGTCATTTAAGCTATTTTATATTCATTCTACTTCAAATCAGAAAAGATATTTATCAACTGTCCACATAGACTTATCACAGAAGTTAAACGAATTGACTGTCAAGGAGACATCAATGCCAATATAGTTCAACAGCATAATTATCAAGTAAGAAAATACTTTTTTTATCCTATTGAATGGCTAAAGATAAACATCAGAAATCTTTGGGATTAGATAGCATAGCTGTTGTTATGATAATAGAAGGGCATAAGCTATGGAATTTCGCAGTTGATAATGGAATTAACATTTTCTGTAACCCTTCTAGAGAGTAAGATGCAAACTGAATATCGATTAGAAGATAGCAACTACTGTGTCTGATACTTGTTAAGTGATTTCTGAGTCACAAGAGAGAGGAAAATTTGAAAATTCTTACCAATGATGAATGACAAATTTTTTAAAATTTTAAGTGGTCAGCAATTAGCAGGACGATTGATTCCCTTAAATGTTCATGCTGAGAGCTACCTGATCATGTTATAACAGGATATTGTAGTGTTTAATAACAATCATCTTTTGCGATAATTCTGATTTATGTTCCAGGTCATTGTACTTGATCTCGATATGATTCTTAACACTAACATTGTTGAACTATGGAATCACTTTGAGAAATTTCAAGAAACCCAGGTTAGTTAGTTCTTAATTTCAAATTTCTGATCCTCATATATTTAGTTACTTTATTTTAAGACATATTTTGTATGAACTGTAAACTAATTATAGTTTAACTCGACCGCATCTAATATATTCAGACGTGAATTTATCACTAGATTGTTTTTCAAATTATTCTCATCTTAGATTAATAGAATCTAGCGAAATGTACAGAAATTCACGATCCTCATTAAGAGTATTACTATTTCGGATATTTCAATATTTTACTCTATAGCGATTGATTTTAATCCATTTATCAACGGATGTTTAATCTTGTGAATTTAATTTCGATGAAGCAAAATATTACTGAAAAGCATTTGACTTTGATCGCCATTAGGTTGTTTTGATCATTTTTTTCTGATTGAGATCATGAACCGATTGATGTTAGACCATCACAATTGAAAACCTGGAAGCACTGGACGGCCGTTTCGTCCTATTGTGGAACTACTTAGCAGTGTGCATCCACAATCCCGCCGGCGGGATTCGAACCCAGGGCTTTCGGTCTAGCGCGCGAACGCTTAACCAACTGGACCACTGAGCCGGCATCCAATGGTGACAGTTTCTAACATCAACCAATCCACGAAACTGCGCGACCAACTTCCGTTGTAATGAGGTAGATACCTGTCTCTACCCGACAAGGATTAGCTCCACTGGTCACGGCTTCTCACTAGAACTCCGAGAATTCCCTCACGAAGCTAGTCACTAGTGAGCACATGTTGATTCAAATTAACTGACATATGAAATTATCTCAAATCCAGTAGTAGCGATTCATTTAACCCCAATACATAACTTTTTACTACAAACTACCAATTTTTAGCAATCTGTACAACAATACCATCCCAATTATATTTCTATTTCTTTTTAAAACAAATTATACTCAGCTAAATAAACTATTTAGTCGTTGAAATATTAAAGTATAATATGAAAGAAAACAGATAAACTGTTACTTTGGAAATGAGTTGAATGAAATGAATACAGTTTGTAATAGACGCTCTGTAAATCCTCCAAGTAGTTTACAGAAATACTGATCAATTGGTCGGAATACAATGTTACTTCCATAAATATCACTGGTGTATAATAACTACGCTCATTGATTACTCATTAGAAGACTAAGTATAACTATAGATATTACAGCACCATTTTATTAAACATTCAATTAATAGCGAGTAAGCTGATGTGATTACGAAATCAAAAATTTTCGAAAAATGTATGTTGTCAATGTAACAATCCACAGGAGTAACAAATAGAATGACATATCGATTACAAACTCCAATAAAAGCGAGCTTGTCCAAAATCTAGGGTGAGAAAGTGATGTGGAGCTGAATGAACTGATTAGGAAAACTCGGACGTCATAAACTGGCAGATTCATAAGTACATATAGGATTAATACTATTTTGATTAACAACGTTTTGATTGAATACTGCTTTTATTGAATTAAATAAATCATCAAGAGCAATGATTATTGTCATTCAGACTGAATAATGCAACTTTGCTGCAGCTGAAAAAAGACATATTACTCATAAAAATGCAGTGTTTAGTTTCATTTTCAATGTTATAAGCGTTCTAAACAATGACTGAATATTAAACGATGGCCTGAATCGATAAGCATAGACTACGTAGGTATTATTACTTGGAAAAATAACAAGATAGAGTACAAAAAGTCAGACAAAAATGACTTCTTTAACTAATGAAATGTTTTATGAAGTATCTTTCTTACTCAGAACATGTGGATTCAATTTTCACATTCCAACGATTCATAAATACAAATAAGATTAAAGCCCAATATAAATATTGTAGTCAACACTGTACATACTACTGACAAGATATATATATCCTATAAAATCTCAGTCGTAACAATCCTTCTACTCAATACACTTTTAGGAAACTTTTGAAAAATTGAATTATCATCAATATTGTTATTCGACTCAAACTTTAATATGAAACTACATCTGTCTAAATATAAGTGTAGTACTGAAAAACGAACATCTTAGTCGTAAATTGACGTTAATTTTCCGAATGTCTTACGCCCACTTTTTATTCATGATATGATGGGATTAAAAAGCGAAATTAGATTCTTTTGCTCCTTGTGACTTCTTGTTCAATATTACTTCCGTTTATTTTTTTAATTCAATACGTTAATTAATCGGAGTAATATTTGTTTCTGTTTTCCAATGTGATATTTTATTCGATGTAACATTGATTTATTTCACTATCATATTTATGCAAGATACAATATTCCTGTATTAAATTAACATAACCTTTGCTCAGTATGATATGCAGCATACGATTTGTTATAACTCGAGATTTTCTCATCCATGTGATTTTATTCTAATTAATAGACAATATGTGTGTACAATCAATATATAAATGAGTGTAGTTTCGACTAGGCTCATAGTCGTGTTCTGGGGTTAATGAATCTTCACTTATATCATTCATGGTGTCCTTACTTCTCGTCGTGGGAATTGTAGTAGTTTCTCGTTGCTCTTTTCAAGTATAAGTAATAAGCGTCAGCGTAATTAATAGTTGGTTTATTATAATTAATATAATTTATCTTCACAATTGATCGATCACTAGCTGGTGATCAATGTCACGTATGTCAGGTTCTTCTTACTGCAGATCAAATACTATCGACCAAGTTGCAATGTGGCCACCAGTCTAGGTGACTCGACATTGCGTGCACCATGTTGGAGGTAGTCGATAGGAAACCCTGAACCTAGGTTTCGTGTTACTTTGCCGATACAATTCGAACTGCACTAATAAGGACCTGACATACATGACATTGATCGCCACCCGGTAATCAATCAATTGTAAATTTATTTCAGTCCTACAGGAAGTCAGTCACGGCCCGGATAGCTCAGTGGTAACGTCTCTGACTGTCGAGTTGGGTAACACGGGATCGAATCCATCAGGGAGTACCAGTTCCCTCAGGATTACAGGTACACCTCGCTGACGAGTACCAAGTAGTACGAAGCCTAGGTCCAGGGTTTCCTGTTGACTACCTCCAACCACCATCTTATAATTTATCACCGTTATAAATTTTATGGTCAAACGGCGAAGTCAGTAAAATAATATGGATATTAAGTGTCATTGCGTAACTTTTATCGCCCTCTTCTATTGTTATAGAAACGTGTCTCCATGTGTTTCCAGAAGTTCCCTATTAGAATTTCCACTTTAGTTCACACATAATTGTTCAACTAGTGGAATATATCTAGAATTCACCCATATTTATTATCTTTTTATAAATTTTCACTAGTAGATTATAATGTATGAATACTGCCTTTAAGTCATCATTACTATTGTATCTACATTGTACACAAGTGAAGAGAATTCACTAAATAAATGAATTCATTATTTTTGATGTACTCAAATTTCTTCTATATTTCGATCATATTTGGTACATCATATTTTGTGTTTTCTTGTTTCTTTCCTAAAGATGATAGGCATTGGGTTGGAACAAAATCCGTATTTTCAAGAAGTTATGAAAAATTTAATCAGTGACTGGGAAGTAAGTGTGAACATTCTGTTACATTTATTGACAATATTATTATTAAGAGACAGACAGTTTGATGCAACCCAAGTTTTTTTCAAAATAATTCACATTAAGTGATGTTTGATAATGTATTCTAAATCTGAGTATAAAGTCAGCTATCAATTTTTGATACTGTTGTAAAGTTACATCTAAAAATATATATCGTTTGTTTTATTGATAAACTGGGTAGCTCTTTATTGAAAAGTATTTACAGAGTATGTTTAAAAGAAATTAACCTTCACATATTAGGTTACATTTCTTCAGAGCAAATAAGTTTACTTACTTGCTTATATATATCAAGTACGCCTCGTGAAGAATAGGCCGCCCACCAGAATTCTTCAACCAACTCTGTCCAAGGCTGAACTTTCCAGTTGTCTCCAATTGCTATACATTCTTTTGATTTTTCCCGCCGATTCCCGACTCAATGTCTTTATTGGCCTTCCTCTTTTCCATATCTCTTCAGGATTCCAAGTTAGTGCTCACCTCGTGATGCAGTTTGGTGATTTTCGTAATCTGTGTCCTGTCCACCTTCAACGTCTTTTCCTAATTTCCTCTTCAGTTGGAAGCTGGTTTGTTCAGTATCTTGCGTAGAAAATTGTTTACAAATATTTGTGCTTTTTTGGTGACGGTTGTAGTAGTCTCGATGTTCGTATTGAAGACTGTGACTTTGATGTTGGTTGACAGTTGTTTTGTGTTCCAAATGTTCCTTAATTGTAGGAATGCTGATCTCGCTTTGATAATCGTTGACTTTACGTCTGTATCAGATCCCCCTTGTTCATCGATGATACTGCCCAGGTAAGTGAAAGTTTCCACCTCTTCCAGAGTTCCTCCATCAATTGTGATTGGTTTTGTGTTCTCTGTGTTGTATTTGAGGATGTTGCTTTTTCCCTTGTGCATGTTGAGGCCTACTGATGCAGAGGCTGCTGCTACACTAGTTGTCTTCATCTGCACTTGTTGGTGTGTATGGGACAGGAGTGATAGGTCACCTGTGAAGTCCAAATCGTCTAGTCCCATCCAAGCTGCTCATTGTATTCCGTGCTCTCCCTCAGATGTCATGGTCTTCATAATCCACTTGACCACCAGAAGGAAAAGCAAAGACGAGAGTAAGCAGCCTTGTCTGACTCCTGCTCTCACTTGAAGTGAGTCCGTCAGCTGTCCAGTGTGTACGACTTTGCAGTGTAGTTCATCATAAGTGTTCCGTATGATGGTGACGGTCTTCTCAGGTACACCACAGTGTTGATGAAGACTCCATAAGGTTCTCCTATTGGCCCTCCTCATATTCATTGAATTTTATGTATAGTGACGCGTTCCAGTCAACTGATTGTTCGACGATGATCTGTAATGTCGCAATTCGGCCAGTGCACGACCGATCCCTACGGAATCTGGCCTGTCGATCTCGAAGTTTGGAGTCAGCAACACTCTGAAAAAAACTTTTTCGTGGTACCAATATGTTATGGCTTTAAGTTTGGGTCGATTTTTACCCTGTGCTAATTGTTGTGTCCTTGACTGGAAAATTAGAGAGCAGCGTACTTATCGATCGATTACAGTGACACGTAAACACGTACGGACGGCCTAGAGTCTCGATTGGTCCCACTTCCCTGTCTAGCCCAGCCTGTTGAGTCCAGAACACAAGTCACAACCTTTGAGATATGAATCATTATATTTCAAACATACTTTGTTTATATACCAATCAAGCATACCACATCGTACCATAAAATAGAAAACAACATTTTGTACAATATTCAACAAGTGAACAGATATCGACCAATAGGAAATGTCCATCTAAAGTCCAAGGACACCGTTGGACTTAACATCATAATTATTGGTCTATTCCTCCGCATCCACAACACAATAGTAATGTGATGTCTCTGTAAGTCCCACATTTGCTCAGATCTTCCTTCTTTAGTATCTGGACGAGGTATCCTTCTTTCCAGTCTGTTGATACTGTTCTTCCTCCCAAATCTTTCAGAATAGAAGGTGGAGCATCATTGGAGTTGCTTCTATATCTGATTTCAAGTACTTCAGCCGATTTTTCTGGTGGCCATCCTGATTTTTTCGATTGCTGGTCTCGTAATATACATAGAAATACCCGTAGATGCTGCTTCGATGTTTGGTGAATTCTGTAAGGCTGGTCTTCGCAAGATTTGACCGTTCAACAACGATCTGTAGTGTCGCGATTTCATCTGTGAACGATCGATTCTTACGGAATTCAAACTGTTGATCTCGCAACTGGGCGTCTACTTAATCTTTTATTAGGTTCGACAACAATTTCCTGGTACTGATGCCTCTGTATTTCTCACACTTTCTGAGGTCTTCGTTCATTCGTATTTTGATGTGATATTCTTCTTTTCAACCTGTCAGCACTTGTCTTTTTTCGTATATCTTTCTGAACAGAACGGGGATCATATTTGCAGTTATCGATATGTTTGACTTCAGTGCTTCGGCTGGAGTGAGAGTAAACTACAATCTCATTCTAAAATTTGACCTTGTACCTGGAAACCGACCAAAATGAAGTGTGAATTACTATTTAAACAATCATAATCCATAATGGAGGGCGTAATTTGTTCTCTGTCGTTTTTAATAGCTTACATTAAAAATGTCAAGTATTACGTGACGAAAATATCGCTCCATCATGCAAGAGACGTGTGAAGTGTTGTGCAGTAAGATTACGACACACCACAGAAGTCATACATCCAAATAATTTTATAATAGAAATTACTCTGAGTTGTCTACAACTGATTGACTGAATAGACGATAACATAGCTGCAATCACTGACTACGACACACTTAGCTGACTTTACTACGTGGATTTTATACCCAGCTGTACAGTAACGTCTTCAAGAAGGTTTGTGAAAGCCTCTTTGACGTCCGATGGGTTCGGTGGTGTTGGTCTATTCTTGAGCGCTTCAAAGTGCCCTACCTATCCATTTCACTGTTCGTGAATCTCAGTGGTTGGCTTGCATTCTTTGTTATTGGTTGATCGCTCTTGTTTACTATGTTCTCATATTTCCTTCTTTTGCGGAGTTTTCTGTTGTTATTGCTAGGTCTTCCGCGTATTTCTGTTTGTCGGCTCTAAGGCTACTCTTCATTCGATTATTTGCTTCTGTGCATTCGATATGTGCCTTGACTTTCTCTAATCTTGTTTGACTGTTATTAATTGTCGTCTTTTCGTTCTTCCTTTCTTGAATACTGCCCTGGGTTTCGACATAGATCCGTTCATTGTGATGATGCTTGCTGCGGCCCAGCAACTCCTGACACGTTGAAGTTACTGTTTCTTTGATTCCTTTCCAGTTATCCTTCATATTAGCTTTCTCTTCCTTAAGTACATCTTGCAAGACTTGGAACATGCTGTTTAGAGTTATCCTGAATTCGTTGAGTTTGTCAGTATCTCAAAGGAAGGCGCTATTAAATCATTGTAATGCTGTTCCTCCAGTTGTCCAGTGCCTTGTTAGCATCATTCCATCTTGACAACCACCATTTGGTGATCTGAAGCTCTTCACCTGGTTCTAACTTCTTCCACTGACCTTCTAGATTTCTTAGTGATGCAATTATGATATCCTCATACCCAGTGTCGTCCACCCGACTTTGGCGTTTAGGTCTTCTCTCAGGATGGTTAGGTCTCTTCCGTGACACTTTTCTACAATCGACTGCAGCTTCATAAAAGTGATATTCATCGTCTTCGTTGCTATCATTAGTGGACGCACTGCACTGGATAAAATTCATTACTTTATCTTTCTTTGTTTTTAAACATTCTTTGATGATTCTGAATCCATGAGATTCCCATCCTATAAGTGCTTTTCGCTCTTCTCTGGACAACATCAGAGCAACTCCCTGAGTGTGTGGAGTATTTACTTATTTGTGACCAGAGTACAGTAGAAACTCTCTTGTATCTAACCTTCTACCCATCAAGTGAAAAAAATTAGACATAATTCTGTTAGTATTCATAGGGAAACTTTAATGTCGATCTCTGGCTCTGCCAACTTTTATAAATCTAATCGGCCATCTGTAACAGTGCACTGTTAGTGAACGAAGACGAGATACCCAGAGAAATAATAGTTTGCCATTTCGAATGCCTTTACATCTTTTACATAATGTATTAGTAAGTTGTGATGTGATTGTTTACAATCGGACATATTCTTGTTTCACTCAAATCATGAACCGATCAACAAATTTTACTAAAACAGTCATCTTTTTCAAGTGATAAATTTCAAAATGCATATTTCCGAGTAAAACAATACTACGTTAATATCAGTCATTCAGCTTATCTGTTCGAACTACTACTACAAGTGTAAATATTAAAAATTAATAAGTCAATTAATCAACAACTAACTTAATTTTAACAAACAAAATATAGAAAGTCACGTTCATATTTTCATTTCAGGGTTACGGATATAATGGTGGGATTTTATTGTTCGACTTGTCACAACTACGTTTGATGATGTGGAATGATATATGGTTGAGCATAACTGTACACTTGTTGCAAATTAAAGGATACCTAATCACAGGAGAGCAAGTGAGTCGAAACACATTACGAATACATGAAATTTTAAACACAGTCAATGCCCAAATAAAGATATTTCCTTAACACTGTTATGCAGATTGATTCTGTCAATTATCATAGATATGACTGTACGGATGTTCATTTCAATGCATTTTACATCATATGGTTCTTTTTAGTTGATAATAAAACTATCCTGGCGATACGTTTTTGAGCCTTATTAATGAGTTATTCTTGCCTGTAAAGAACGTGTTCATTATGGAAAAACCAAATTATATCATTCTCAGAAATTCCCTTAAAATTGTTGGGGATTTTGTTATGAACACTTCTTCTGCTCCTTTTTCTCTTACAATATTAAAAATCAGGAAGTTTACTTCTCAAATTATTACTATAAATAATCTGATATTGGTTTCTGAAGAATTCTTTCAACAAGTGGGTGATACTTCTTTGATTATAATTATGTTTCATGTCGCTCTAAATGTTATTAATCTTACAAATGAAAAACTGAATAGTACAATTTGAACCATCGATTTTAATTAGTAATGAATTGAGAGAAAGAACTCGATATTACAAATATTTTACTGTATTAAAATCTGTCAAGAAGTTTAGTATCAATAATAACTCAGCACAATTTTAAAATTTCTAAGATTTTAACAATAACAAAGTTTAAGGTTACGCTCGAACTCAAGAGTGTTGTAAAATTTGGTTCCATAATTAGTAATTCAGATCGATTCTTCATTGAATACTGCTCTCAATGTTCCTATTTAAGAACTGTTATACGAATATCAAATCAGAGTAAAACGATTGCTTGTACAGACCTGTACTGAAGCTAGTTTCTGTGTTTCGGTTTGAACTTCTTCACATTTGTAATGTAAAATAATGCAATGCAGATATTTCGATAAAAAAATTTATTTACGTATGAAAATTCAGTGATATTAAGTTGTTTTCGCACTATCGTAGAGTAGTTTCTGTCTTTCTATAGTAATATCCGAATTCAAGTGTTATACTGATCAAATGAATTCTTAACTGCATAACCATTTACTAACCTAATATTTTCTCCAGTACATTAAGTAACATTTTGGAAGTTCTGAACGGAAATTCGATGATCATTCTTTGATTAGTTGAACCCGTGAGAGCATACCTTTATCGATTAATATTAAACAAATCCATTTCATATGATATAACAAATAACTTTATTTATTACTCAGAAAGTAATAAACTTACCAATAATTTTTACCCCTCGGTTTCACTTATCTGCATTTCAGGATGTAATGAATATGATCGTATGCAAATACAATGATCTTCTGTATGAAATTCCTTGCGAATGGAATGTTCAATTAAGTGCTGGGTCAGAACCTGAAGGATGTCCGGTTAGTTGGTTAAGTCATGTGGAATTGCAAAAACGCAATTATTATACAATTAATAAACAACCAAAAATTATCCATGTCAATCATCATATAAAACCGGAAGATAAATATTTTCCAAAACCCGTATCTATCAATAAAATTGACCGATCGGATGTTATACTTAAACGTAAGTGAGAGTAGATCTTTAGTAAAGTATCTAATAATTCATGGGGCTAGATAAAACTCGAAAAGGGTAAAGGCGCACTAAAATCACTTGGTGCGATGAAAATCTCCGTCAAAATTAAGCTTGCTTTGAAAGGATGGCTAATATCAATGTATTCAATGACACATTTCCAAAGAAAGACCTTCCACTATAGAATATATATATATATAAATAGAGAGAGAGAGAATATATATATATATATATATATATATATATATATATATATATACTTTTTATTGAAATTCTGGGGAATTCGTAAGTAAAACCTATTTGCCGAATGAACACATTAGTGTTTTTGAAATTTTTAAAGTTATGTTCATATAGATTCATAAGTACTGTCAGTAGTTTAACACGAATCTGGAAAACTAAGTGGATCCTAGATTTTAAAAAGGAGGAATAATCCTTTTTTAGTCCTAAAAATGTTCAGATTAGTTGTACAAAGTACTAGTTCATTAAATTTAGCTTGTTTAAGAATTCTTACTTAGCTAATATTTGAATATCGATATCATCGAATCACTGCCCACAGACGATGGAGCCACCAGAAGAGTGTTGTTATCATTGGATGTAGGGTTATAGATAAAAGAAATGAATCACATGACGAAGGTTTGAACATACATACGACATGATCGATGCCTACTCAAACATGGTGTGTTAGCATAGAATTAGTCCTAGATAAGGTTATGAATGGCTACATCAAAAAATGACGTCATTTTACAAAGTTAATTAATCTTGAACTGATCCGTGTTGAAAAGAAGCGGACTTCTTATTTGAGGTCTGAGAACTAATCACAACGTGTAGTTTAATACTTCGGTTATCACATTGTAAAATGTGGCTCAAATGGATTCAATGTTAATGCGTTTTCTTATATCTTGAATTTTAGTATTAACTCATAATTTTCCTTTATTTTGCTTATTTTGGAGCTACACTCTCTATGATTGTCACCAAAGTCATTATTTTGTCTCATCTTTTAATATGTCGATTTATTCTCTTAACTCAATCATGTTTAAATCAGTCAATTGACTTTCTTCTATTAGGAATTCTTAAATATGTGCAGAAATGCACAGATGTATTCTGCAAACTTTATTTCATTAGGTTCTTAATGAATTAACATTTTAACAGTTACAGTAAATAAAAATTATCCCAGCTGATGTCCATTAATGTTTAATTAACAGTAATGTATAATAAATCCGAGAAATAGGAGCAAGTGCAAAGATGCTCCTCGGTTTCTTCAGAAAAAACTGGAAAGATAAACACAAACCAATCAACTGAAATGAGAGACACCAAGGAAGCGAGATTTTAAAAAGTCTGAAAACGACAGAAAAAGTACACTTCCGTTAGTACTAGGCACAGTTCTTGACAGGCTGTTATTGGCCTAAATGAGAGATTCTCTAGACACCCATGTAGCGACACTGCGGATCACTGTTGAACAATCACTTAAATGAAGCTCGTCACCATACATCAACTTCCCTGACTACGAGGAAGCATTCAACAGCACGGATAGCAGGACCCTGTGGAACCTTCTTCGACATTACGGAGTACCTGAGTCGTCACCATCATGCAGAGCTCCTACGAAGGGCCAAATCGCAGTCTTGCATGCAAGAAATCTCACACGTCCATTCCAAGTGCTTACTCCCGTCTCATACCTTTCTTCTGGTTGTTGGCTGCATTATGAGGACCTCCGGTTCTCGTGAAGAGGATGGGATACAGTAAGATACTTTGGACGCAGCTGGACGATTTGGACTTTGAAGATCATTTAGCCATGTTACCACATGCACAACGATAAATGCACGCGGTTTATCAGTGTTGCAGCAACCTACGCAGAAAGACATTAAAATTCGCAAGTGAGGAAGCAAGACTCTGAAATACAATAGTGAGCATCAAACAAGTCCCATTCGGTGGCAAAGCTCTGACAAAGATGGAAGCGTTTGGGTGCCCACCTGGACAGCATCATCGATAAACATGAAGGACTTGGTGCAAATGTGAAGGCACGAATTGCCAAGCGAAGACGATATTCATACAAAAGAACTGTTACTCAACACCAAACTCGGGATTCTCAACGCAAACATTAAAACAGTTCTATTGTGTTGGGTTGAAACTTGAAAGACTACCAGCACTATCATCAGGTATTCATAACTAGTTGCGACTCAAGGTACTCCAGACACATTGGCTAGACTACTAGCAATAACCTACGCTGGGCAAGAACAAGTCAGCTGCCAGTTGAGGAGGAAATTAAGAAAAGAAACTGGAGATGGATAAGACACTGTTCGGAAATCATTGAACTGAATCACGGTTCCAAGCCTTAACATGATACTCTCAAAGCGAAAAGAAAAGAAGGAAACTAAAACGCACATGAAGTTGGAAATCGAAGAAAGATGTCAAGACCACCAATAGTATTTGGCAACAACTCTGAAGAACAATTCAAGATTGAATTGGTTGGAGATCTCCTGTCAGTGGCCTATGACTCAAAAGGATAATACGCGCAAGTAAGGCGCACTAAGTAAAAGAATCTTCACGTTCATGTATCAGCATTTCAATTCTGATTTTCATACTGAGACTGCAAATAAGTACCTTTTACTTCAAGCACTTAGCACATCATCCACTGGTCTACTGATTATAGATGACCAACAGCTTGTACAGCAGGTAGGGAGTATGTTTAATTTATACTGGTATGAATATTTTCTGTGTTGACGTTAGGGATTACAAGTGTTTTTAATTTTTATTAGTTTTTACTCATATAACTCACTTTTCACGGGTTCTCTATTCTGTTTTATTACTGATAGGACATGAAATGTACTACAGACTCAGTTCGGTATATTACAAATTTCGTGCACTTAAACGTGAATGTTTTCAATAACTTCAGTGTTTACCTACCTTTCAGCACTTCGATTGGCAGACCTATTCATGATCCCTGATTTGAATCAACAGATCTGAGAATTAAATAATGGATGTAAATAAACACGGAAATTGTAAATAATTGGATTTACTATAAACCGTCTTTTTAATTTCATATATTTCTTCTGACATTTCATATGAAACACCCCTTTACTTTTGCTACGTATTGGAGGGAACGAGAAAATATCGACTTTTACGTTGAACCCGAAAAAATATCGACCACTGTACTTGAACTCAGTGTAGCGGTAAATAAATCCCCAAAATAAATAGTTCTAAGTTTTCGACATTGGATGCTGACCATATGTTTTAGTGGACTCATCTAGCTGAAGGCGCTCGGTCAGGCATCCGCACCAGATCACGTGTGGTAACGCCATGCTCAACATCAACCGCAATCGCTAGTCAGATTAGATCAGAGAATTCCGATATATTGGTCATCGCCAAATATACTCTTCCGATCTCCTCAACTCTGTCTTTTGATTTCTCTGGGTGGGAACGAAATATATTAGAAGGTGTTACTGGTAGAAGCGTTGCCAAACACTGAATACCTGTGACATCATCATCAGTAACACAATGAAGTTAACATTGACACGGTACTAGGCAACTAATAAGTTAATTTCTACATGGTGTTGTATGAAATCTCCTTCGAAAAATTTTACATTAGCGCACCAAAGTTGTCCACTGTTTCCTAGTTTTCATTGGTTCCTTTGCTGATACCAGTTTATAATGAAAATTATTTTTAAGGCGAACAGATTTTGGAAAAGTCATTAAATGAAAAAAATACTACTGAGAAACTTCAATATTTCTGCGTCGATATGACTTAATACCGTTTACTACGAAAGTGATAATCTCATAGTACCGTATTTAGACTGCCGAAAATCAAATGTAGCTTAATTATTTAACCGGAACATTTTACAGTCAGACTAAGTAATATCTATAAAACAAGTTAAGTGATGCAGAGACTGGAAGTACCTTTATGAACACGCCAAAAGTAACAAATAACCATTCCGATTAATGTACAAAAAACTAAAGCCTGTTTGATGAAGAAGTTCTGAATAACGAATCCCACAATAGTGCTGATGAAGACCTTATGAAATGTTTTAAGATGAGAGACTAAGATAGAGAAATCTCAGATTGCGTGCAGTACTGAACGAGTCATTCACACCCTGAAGTTTCATACACTCTGTAGTATCGAATGAAACTATACCTAACTATGATCATTAGTAGCCCAGAAACAGCGTAATCGGATCAAGGGGTACCAGATAAGCACGAACGAATGTACTGTATTTAGAATTCGAAACCAAGCATTCAACAAGTACAAAGGAATCATTAGTTCATTCAAACACCACACTAACTCTGTATCATTGACAGCTAGACAGCATATATCATAACGACAATCTCTGCCAGATGAGATGTCTGTCAGTGACATTAGTTATTAATAGATGTTTGCTTATATATTTTCCAGTAGCTTAGTTTGAAGAGTGAGAACGTCTAAGCATTATTGAAATTGTTTTGAAGATAATTTTGATACAAACAAGGAAGAAGACTAAGAGTGAGCTGTGTTTGAGGAGATTACGATATCGCCTAAATCGGCGAACAGAACGAAAGTCAACAGCACAATCTAAATTATTCACTGAGACTTAGCCCTGTTAACCAGAGGGAGGAGACCAGATTCAGTCGAGGGAAAAGAGTATTCCTCAAGCAATCGGTAGCACGGACAAACAAGCAAACAAATCAAACGTACATACAAAGTATTTAAAGATGTCCTTGGGAGATGTCAAAAAATCGTGCATTTAACGAGAAAACAAACCAATGACGCTTAAGGTCCTTCTTAGTGGGAAATACAGTCTGAAGGCAAAAATGGGCGCTTTTAGGGTGAATATAGGAAATTTAAATTTCTAAGATAAAGTTGCGAAAATAAGACGTTTATCAAATAATTTCTGGTGATATATCATCCTGTTTGAACGTAGAAAGAGACAGAAAACACAAGACTTGTTAACTGACTATGTAGAGGAGGAAAAGCTTTGTACATGAGCCGTGGTGAATGTAGCCTCCATTCCTAACGAAGTTCCCATGTTTAGCATTGTCGACTAAAATTATCACGCTAAGGAACAAGGCTGAATATATATATATTGTTTTAGCCTCCTAGCTTCCATGACATCAAAGGCTTAGTCCCGAAAACTTAAACACCACCTGTATTTATGTGACCACTATATAGGATTAAACAGATATCAAGATGTTTCTCCATCCTCGAAAAGAAACCGCATATAGTAAGTCTTCACGATAAAAAATAATTTAATTTAAAACACCCTAAATACTAACGAAATGACTTATTGATTCGTCAACAGATATTTTCAATCTATCAGTATATATTTTTTAATATGTATTCACAAATGTTCATTGCAGTTTAATAACCTTCACGTTTCTTGTTTAAACTTTAAGCTGATTTTTATGGACAAACGGTAAATTTCCCCAAAAATAATTGCTTATTTATTCTTTCTAACTATTTGGTTTTTTCGATCAGTCTTAATACAAAAAGACTTCCGGGTTGTTTTTCTTCATTAGCATTTCCATTAAAGCTAAGTAATTAATCAAGAAACAGCATTTATTAAACAGGTTCAAGTATTTACGAGCGACACAGTCATATACCTAAGAATCTAATCACTGTAAGAGCCAAGTTTCCGTTTGACTTTAAATCGATAATTGAGTAAAAGTTGGAATATAGATCGTACCGAATATATATTTAAGTACCTGAATTAAAAGGCGCAGAGTAATAACAAATAATCAAAGTATAATTGGATTGAGTGAATACAACTGTACCGAAATAATAGTAGTGTTAGAATAAAACGAGAATTAGACCTTATTGTAAATGAATTGTATTTATGTTGACAATGGCATAAAGAATCACCAGCAGTTATCTCAGAATGAAAATAGCTTTGAAGATGGATAATCCAGAAATTCAAATGTAATAAAATGCATATAGAAATACTCAAAATCGGCAAAAAAATGTGTTCAAATTAATTAAATCAGGTGTTAAGAATGTAAAAAAATTCAACGTGTTCCAAAATTCATACATTGATGGAATAGCAGAATATCATACAAATTATAGATAGATAGATAGATAGATAGATAGATAGATAGATAGATAGATAGATAGATAGATAGATAGATAGATAGATAGATAGATAAATAGATAGATAGATAAATACATAGATGAATAGATAGATATAGAGATAGATAGATAGATAGATATGTAGATAGATAGATAGATAATTACATAAATGGATAGATAGATAGATAGATAGTTAGATAGATAGATAGATAGATAGAGAGATAAACAGAAAGATAGATAGATAGATAGATAGATAGATAGATAGATAGATAGATAGATAGATAGATAGATAGATAGATAGATAGATAGATAGATAGATAGATAGATAGATAGATAGATAGATAGATAGATAGATAGATAGATAGATAGATAGATAGATAGATAGATAGATAGATAGATAGATAGATAGATAGATAGATAGATAGATAGATAGATAGATAGATAGATAGATAGATAGATAGATAGATAGATAGATAGATAGATAGATAGATAGATAGATAGATAGATAGATAGATAGATAGATAGATAGATAGATCGGTATGTATGTAGCGGTAACTAAATCCCCAAAATCAATAGCTCTGTGAGTCTTCGACATTGGATGCTGGCCACATTAGTTTTAATGGACTCATCCAGCTGAAGGCGCTCGGCGATGCATCCGGACCAGAGCATGAGTGGGGACGCCGTGCTTAACATCCCCAGCAATCACCAGCCAAAATAGATCAGGTAATCCAAGATATACTGAGAACCTATCAAGCATATCTTCTAAACTATTCGCTTCTGTCTATTGATCTCACTTAGAGGGTAGGATTCATATTAGGTGTTACTGGTTAAAGCATTGTCAAACTCCAAATACCTGTGGCATCTTCATTGGTGGGCCCAACGTGATCTGTTACACCAAACTGCACACTGTGAGCCTGTTACTTTTGGGGGTTTATATATACTATTGCTTTATTTTAATTTTTATATATTGTGATATGTTTTCCATGTTTTTTGGATATATAATTTTTTCGCTCGTTCATTCTCGTACTTGATATTTCACCATGACGGAACAGCCACCCAAGGTACCTAAGTTAAAGACTATGTCCTCACCTTCGTTTCAAATAATGATCTTCTGGTCAGACAACATCGAAGCCTGGTTCTGCTACGCAGAGGCCGACTTCCACGAGCACAACGTCAACGACACACGTGCACACTTCTTCGCAGTAGTCAAGGCACTACCGCGCGAGTTTAACAGGTGCGTAACACCTAGTATGTTCACTAGTGATGTTTCGGAACACTACGAAACACTTAAACGCGGAGATGTAGCTGATCGACAGGGATTAAACCGACTGCTTGATAATATCGACCTGTAAAACGGTTCTGCAACAGACATGTAGCTAAGAATGAGAGAGGTTATCAGCAAAAGAACTTTCAATGTTGGCTTATTCAGACAACTTTTCTCATCTAAGCTTCCTTAACAGGTGCACACCGTGCTGGTCTCGTGTCAAAACAACGCGTTAGGCGAACTGGCTGCATTTGCCGACAGCATCTTAGAAATCACGAAACCTTATAATGTACACGTTATCCTAGATTTCGTAACCATCGTAAACGGCTACATACTCCGCGAAGATGCACTTCACGCAAGCGATCTGTCTCTAGACCGCGAGAGACTGATAACCCAGACTGGTGCTGATATCATAACCAGTACGGAATACTTTCTCGAAATTGCAGCAAACACTTCAATTTTCCGAACTTAAAATCGACCGACACAAAAAACAATATGGGAAACTTCCCAGCCGGCGCGCGTTAATAGCAACCGTAGCTGGCGAAAACAGCCATCTATAATACGTCGCAAATGTGATAACGAAAATTCGCTACCTCGTCTATAATGGCGCAGAAGTTAGCGTTCATCCAGCAAATTCTAACGACCGGCTTCACGAATTGGTTTTAAATCTACATGCGACTAGCGGAAAGCCTATCTCCACATACGGTAAAAGGTACGTTTACCTTAACGTGGGTTTACGGGAACCCATTCACTGGATCTTTTTTGTCGCAGATGTTTCTATGCTAATCATTGATACAGACCTCCTACAACATCACAATCTACTCATAGATACGCGCAAACGAGGGCTAGTAGACGGAAACACCAGTTTTTCCGGTTACAGATTATCTTCTGTCTTCTATCAACCATTACTTGATAAGTATTATGGGATATACTAACCACAACCGAGATCTCGGTGTGTAACCAGCAATGTTACACGTCACATCATGACTACAGGAGCACCTGTATTCTCGAAAGCGCGCCGACTAGCTCCCGAAAAGCTGAGGTTGGCTAGAAACGAATTCGATCACATGATAGGATTAGGAATTATTCGGCCGTCAACAGTTCATGGGCATCTCCCTTGCACATGGTCCCTAAAAAGGACAGCAACGATTAGCGTCCAACAGGTGACTATCGACGATTGAATGCGAGAACCGTTCCCGATCGTTACCCGTTGCTTCACATTCACGATTTGACAGCTACCTTCAAAGATACAACTTTGTTTCGAAAATCGAGTGGGTTAAAGCTTATAACTAAAGACACTGATGGCATTCCTGAAAGCACTATCATCACCCTTTTGGGACTCTACGAATTTTCGTGCACGACATTCGGCCTAAGGAATGATGCCAAACATTCCAAAGGTTCATAGATGACGTTTTTCGAGGTCTCAACTTCATACATCCGTATGTTGATGACTGCTTGGTAGCAAGTTCGGACAGAGTATCTCATCTCCAGAATCTGAACCTTGTTTTACAACGACTGCAAAAACATGGCATTACTGGTAACATTCAGAAATGCCAAATCGAAAACGACTGCTTGGATTTCCTAGGACATATTATTGATGCACAAGGCATGCGACCTCTTAGAAGCAAAGTGATTGCCGTTTTGGATTATGCAGAACCGACTACTATTAAACACTTACGCACATTTAACGGCCTTGTAAGTTTCTATTGACTGTTTATACCGAACTGTGCATCACTTATGAAACCACTAACCGACCAAATTCGTGGAAATGCGAAATCCATCAATTTGGACGATACCGCGAGAAAAGCATTCTCGCGAAAGCAACTATGCTTGCACATTAGGACACCCATTAGTATCGCAATGGACGCATCCAACTCGGCAATCAGAGGAGTTTCACAACGATGGGTTAACCACATCTGTCAACCTTTAGCATTTTTCTCGAGACGGTTGCTAGACACTGAATAGAGGTACAGCACTTTTGGTAGGGAAATCCTAGCTACGTATTGTGCTGTACGGTATTTCCAACACTCTGTCGAGGACCGAGGTTTCGCTCTTTCTACTGATCATAAACCTCCTACCTTCTCTTTAGGCTTATCTTCAAACAGGCACTCACCTCGTGCATCTCGACAACTGGACTATTTCGCAGTTTACTTCAGACATTTAACATATTTCTAGGGCGAACAATGTAGTCTCAGATGCCTTGTCTCATATAGTATCCTTGAGCAGTTTCTTAGGAATTGACCTTCTCAAACTTGCCCAGCTTCAAAAGAAGACACTGATCCTCAGCCCAAAATTATCTTCAGCAACCCTAAAACTGTGTACTAGACAGGTGAGGACAGGTAAGGAAACCTTACTATGCGACATACCTACAGGTAGAGATCGTTCAATCGTGCCAAAACACTATCGACTCAACGTCGTCAATACGTTGCACAAACTTTCTCATCCAGGCGTACACACAACCGTCAAGCTCATAACAGAACGGTTTAGTTGGCCTGTTATGAATAAAGACATAAGGGAGTGGGCACGCTCCTATGTAAGCTGCCAGAAATCTAAGGTGATTAGACACAGCAAATGTATTTTAGGCTCATTCAGAAATCCCGATGCTCGTTCCGACCACGTACATCTTGATTTGGTAGGGCCCTTACCAGATTCAAATGGATACTCCTAACGTGTGTAGACCAATTCACATAATGGTCAGTAGCAGTACCCATCATGGACATTACTTCCGAAACAGTAGCCCGGGCCTTCGTCAAACGGTGGGTAACAAAATTCGGTTGCCCTTGAACTATTACTATAGACCGTGGACGCCAGTTTGAATCTGGACTTTTCCGTTGTCTGACTACACTATTAGGAATCACACGATTCCAAACGACAACCTACAAGCAAACAGGTTGGTAGAACGCTTTCACCGACAACTAAAAGCTTCCCTATCAACTGCAAACGCTTCACAGTGGACCTACTCTCTTCCATTCGGTGTTCGCAATATTGCATATGCATTGAAAGCTGACTTTGGATACACTGCAGCTCAGCTCCTTTATGGGACGACACTTTGCCTGCCGGGTGAATTCGCGGATCGTACACATTCAATAAATATGGGTCTAACCTCCTACACGAGCAGGCTTACAAGTGCAATACGTTCAGTTAAACCTGTTTCCACTCAACTGCAGTCAACTGATGTTTTCGTTCAACCTGACTTTCGATATAGTACACACGTCTTTGTTCGTCGAGACTCACATCGATGACCACTCGAACCAACATACAAAGGACAATTCAAAGTTTTTCAACGCGGACCTAAGTATTATATAGTCAACGAGAATGGAACTAATAATTGCATCAGCATCGACTGCGTCAAAGGAAACCCTATCACGTCAATTTTCCTCCGGTAAAATCGAACGTCACGACTCCTACATTCATAACACCTCATCTGACAACATGCACGATAATACTTTGGCAGTATCTGAAAATGGACTCAGAATAACGCGTTCTGGAAAAAGAGTGAGATTTATAGGACATGTAAACGAATATTGCGCGTAAGACACCAGTTAAGAGTTTACTTCATCCCAATTTTCCTTTGTATTACATATGATAAAAAATTTTAAAATGCTTATACTTATATATTTACTCCAAAAATACAACTTTTTGCTAATATGTGTGTATTTAATTTTTTTTAGAAAAACCAAAAAAATCTTTCAAAATCGCTATCACGCAATCGCATGTGTGTGAGTTTATTTTCCTCTTCTCCCCCCTTTGTGTCTTTACGCGCGTACGAGTGTATTTCGACATGCACTTACCTATCCTATTTTTCTTTTCCAAGACGGCTGGAAAAGACGATAAAAAGAACGATGAAGTTTAAGAGGAACCGAAATTTCGATCGTACCTTGTTTCTTTATTACTTTATTGTACTATGTGGTCTGATATAGTTGGGAAAGACGACAAGACGCTGCTAAAATCGTTACGCTAAGGAAGAAAATCGGTGACATATTTATCCAAGTAATTTGAACATCCCACAGGTGTTGAGAGATTGACAATGCCCTTGCCGGTAACACATTTATAATCGATGTATGCCAACCCAGTCAAATCGGAAGTCAGAACTGAGGTGGTTCAAAGTTGCATTTGAAAGTCTATCGATGTCTCGTGAAACATTTGGTCCAATCTGGCTAACGGTTGTACGGGGTGTCTAGCATGGCGTGCCTCCCCCCAGTTATCTGATGTGAGTGCCTGATCAAGCGCCTTCAGCTAAGCGTATCAAGTAGAACTGGCGAGGTCGACATCAATGTGGAAGACCTACAGAACTACTGATTTCGGGCATAAAACAACACACTCCAGAAGAAAGTTAAGGTTTCCGAACGCTTCAACAACTGCCGAGTGTAGAAAACTGAATAAAATTTTCTTCCATCCTGTTTTTTTGTAATTTTACTTCAGAAAAACAAAGACAATATATATTTTATGTAATATGCACTATATGTGAGCATATTTTTCTACTAAAAATCAAAACAACCATTGTGAGAAATTTGTTTCTGTCATTGCTTGTTATCAAAATTTATGTACACAAGTTTATTTTCCTTTTTTCTGCTATTCTGTGTTTTTATATACGCACAAATGCATTTCGGCATGCGCCTACCTTCACTTTCCTTGTCTTTTTCAGGAGGACTCGAAAACATAAGAAACTAATGAAGAATACGAGTTACAGAAATTTTCATTGCACTTTTTTCAATGCTATTGTTACCATATGGCCCTATAGATCAGAGAATGACGAGCAGGCGCGGCTGAACATAGCAAGCTATCAGAGGAGTGTTTACAAACGAACAACCCACTGGGTTTATACTTCTGACTGGCCACAACTTAGGGTCATCACTGCTCAACTAGAGAGAGAGTAAGCTGTAGCGGTGAATAAATAGTTCTGTGGGTCGTTGGCATTGATGTTAACCCACTAGTTCTACTTGATACACTTAGCTGAAGGCGCTTGATCAGGAATTCACACCAGATAACTGGGGGGAGGCACGCCATGCTAGACACCCCGTACAACCGTTAGCCAGATTGGACCAAATGTTTCACGAGACATCGATAGACTTTCAAATGCAACTTTGAACCACCTCAGTTCTGACTTCCGATTTGACTGGGTTGGCATACATCGATTATAAGGTGTTAAAGGTAAAGGCTTTGTCCAATTAATATTACGCATGTTGGCCCACTTCACCTCCATTTGTCAAAAACTCAAACATAGCAAGTTCCTAAATTTTCTAAAACAAGGATTAACCCTCTATCAAATCTGTGAATCACATCATTTATCTGAACACAGAATCAACGAAACATTTATTTCAATAATTTTCTTCATTGAGGTTTGAATACCTAGACTTTACGCGCTAACAATAAACGGTCCGAGAAGACAAAATCTGCTTTTATATTATTTAGCTTTATCTAGGTAGGCGTTATTCGGATTTTGTTATCTGTACTCAAATAAGTCCGTGCCTTTATTTTTATTTGATGTGCGTGAATAAATGTACATAGTTTTTTGCCCATAAAATTGTAAAAATATACAGGAACTCTAAATAACCCATCTTCACTGCATGAATGTCTAGTTACGTTAGATAAGAAAATACCGAACTGACTTTAGCATGCACTACAATTTAAGCCGGCAATCACAGCTGCTTATGTAATCCATACTACTGTTCTGTTTATTTCACTAAACTGATAACCCAAGCAACCGAAAAAGAAATAATGGGGACATTCCAAATATAATTTAAGTGAGAATATCTCAAATTCAGTTAGGCCATTTAAGTGCCATACAATAACTATTATGTAAAAACTTAAGAAAGACAGATAGGAGCTTGGGCCAAGATGAACATATTGTACATTCTCAATCTAGGAGATTAGATCGATGGGCAGAACACTTTAGGGATCAGTTCAACTGGCCTTCAGCCACACTTCGGTTTCCCACGATCTCCAGTCAACCTGAATGTCAAGTTGATGTAGGTCCTCCCTTTCTTTACGAAGTAGAAAAACCATAGGAAATCTGAAGCGAGGGAGAGCAACAGGCCCTGCCAGGTTTACTCCTGAAGTTTTTAAGGATGGTGGTTCAGTATTAACAGTGAAATTAACTGAGGTCTTAGGTAGAATTTGGGAACTGAACGTAATCCTATCTGACTGGTCTCAATCACTGACTATGCCAGTTATTAAGAAAGGACAAAAGTCCTCTTGTGACAATCACAGAGGAATCAGTTTGACAAATATAGTGTCTAAAATATTAGCTTCAATAATACCTCGACGCCTAACTAAAGCTCGTGAAGGGCAAACTAGAGAAAATCAGGCTATTTTTTTACTTGGACGTGGTTGTATAGATCAGATATTCGCACTACGTCAGGTTCTAGAACACAGACACACATTCAGACGCCCCACAATGGTAGTATTTCTCGGACTTAAGGCGGCATTCGACTCTGTTGATCGTGAGGTTCTATGGCAGTGTTTGTCACTGAAAGGAGTACCAAAGAAGTACATTAACCTTGTAAAGGCTCTCTACTCGAACACAACTGGTCGAGTGAGAGCTTATGGCGAACTGTTATCAGAATTGATTACCTCAAGTGGTGTTGGTTAGGGCTGTCCACTCTCTCCATTCTTGTTTAACTTTGTCGTTGACGTACTTTTAGAAATAACACTTTTCTCATCTACATTTACAGGAGTTGAGCTTTTACCGGGAGGTTCACTTTTGGACTTAGAATATGCTGATGACAGTTCTATTTGGTGACGACGCTGACAAAATGCAGAGTCTTATGACCACTCTAAGCAACAATACAAGCATGTTCAGGATGCGATTCTCCCCCTCGAAATGCAAAATGTTGTTTCAGGATTGAGTTGCCTCGACAGCTAAACTAATGATTGGGAGTGAAATAATTGAGCGTGTCGATCGCTTCATTTATCTTGGAAGTCTCGTCAGCCCTTGTGGTCTGGTGTGACGAAATCTCAGCACGGATACAGAAGGCTCGACTAGCTTTTACCAACCTGCATCATTCATGGCGTAGGCGAGATATTCGTCTATCAACCAAAGGACGTGTTTACTGTGCAGCAGTTCGTTCCGTCCTACTTTATGGCAGTGAAACATGGCCGGTAAGAGTAGAGGATATCCGTAGGTTGCTAGTATTTGATCATAGGTGTCTTCGAAATATTGCTCGTGTATCGTGGGACCATCGAGTAAGTAATGCAGTTGTTAGGAAACGGGTACTAGGTAAGGATGGCAAATCAATTGATCACCTAGTGAAAATTCATCAGTTGAAATGGCTGGGACATGTGGTACGTATGCCCAACAACCGACTGCCCCAACGAGCGATGTTTTGTTGTATAGGAGTAGATTGGAAGAAAGCTAGGGTAGGCCAGACCAAAACATGGCACAATGCCATGAAGTCACTGACAAGTGGACTGAGTCATGTTGGTTGGTGTAGACTACCTGGTTGGGGACCGCGAGATGATAGCAACCGACGGTTAGAGACCCTGAATGACATGGCTCAAAACCGTTTGCAATGGCGCAGGTGCATACACTCTTTGTGTTCTCCCAAATTTTGATCTCCTTATTCCTCCTTGTCTCTTTTTTTCTCTTCCCAAATTTACTTCACTGTATTATACTCCTTGAATAACATCTTCAAACCCTAATTTTTCTCATTACAGCTTATAATTTTACTAGATCTAGCACTACGGGATTTGAATCGACCACTGTATCTCTGTGCTAATGTGGTGTGGCAACTCGAACTGATGTACGTTCGTACGAAGTTCTACGTTGTTACTGACTGACTGACTGGGCCAAGGATACAGGCTTAGCAGTCCTATGACGCATAAAAGCAGAATTTGACTCTGTAGACCGAGAGGTTCTGTGGCAGTGTCTCTCATTGAAAGATGTGCCTTAGAAGTACATAAACCTTGTGATAGCTCTCCACTCGAACACCGCCAGTTGAGTCAGAGTTTATGGCGAACTGTCATCTGATTTTACAACCTCAAGAGGTGTCCGTCAAGGCTGTCCACTTTCTCCATTTTTGTTTAACTTAATCAAAGATCTACTGATGGAAATAATGCTCTCATTGACTGAATTATCGGGCATTAATCTCCTACCAGGAGGTCCACTTATCGACTTAGAATACGCAGATAATATAATCCTGTTTGGTGAAGACGCTGATAAAATGCAGTCTTTTGGTAGCACTGAGCAACAATGCCAGGATGTTTGGTATCCGTTTTTCCACCTCTAAATGAAAGTTGTTGCCTCAGGATTGGCCTGCGTCAACACCTGAACTAAGGATAGGGAGTGAAGTAGTCGAACGCGACGACAACTTCACGTATCTTGGAAGTTTGATCAGCCCTAATGAGTTGGTGCCTGACGAAATCTCAGCACGGACTCGAGAAGCTCGTTTCGCTTTTGCCAACTTACGTCACCTATGGCGAAGACGAGATATCCGTCTATCAATTAACGGACGAGTATCCTGCGTAGCAGTTCGTTATGTTCTACTTTACGGCTGCGAAACGTGGCCATTAAGAGTAGAAGATACTCGTAAATCACTTGTATTTGATCACAGATGTCTTAGAAATATTGCTCACATCTGCTGGGATCACCGGGTAAATAATAGTGAGGTTATACTCAGGCGATTGGGGAATGATGGTAAATCAGTTGACGAGGTTGTGAATCTTCATCGACTGATGGTTGGGTCACGTGTTACGCATACACAACCACAGACTACCACGGCGCGCAATGCTGACTAGTGTTGGAGACGGTTGGAAGGAAGTTAGGGGCTATCAAACCAAAACGTCGCATTAGTCCTTGAAGTCACTAACTTCTAGTCTGAGACATGTTGGTAGATGCAGACTACTTGGTTGGAGACTTTGGGTGACATGGCTCAGAATCGATCACAATGGCGTCGGTGTATGCACTCTTTGTACACCCTTGTAACGATTAATTTTTGTAAACTGAGATAGTTCGTGCTATGGCTTATTTTCTACCTTACATTTAAGCTGTTCATTGTTGGCCATTAGTCTAGCTATAAATTTAGACGTATTAGATGCTGCAATTTACAAATCGAATTCGGAACTGTTCTGCGTACCTATGCAACGAACTGCTCATGCTATTCTCCTACTGCAATGTTCATAATAGTTGCTTAATATCCTCATTTTTGTTCACCATTGTCATAGACATGATCATAGATATGTTCTCGTCTACATCCGCGTAAATTGGTTTTCTAAAAGAAAATTTACCTAACGACACATCTTGGTAATATTTATTTCCCTTGTAGCCCGTTACGTCTAAAATGACTAACGTCAATATTCAATATGATAACGCGCTACTGGGTATTCTCCAAAACGAAGGGAAGTTAGAGAAGTTTTTAGATGTGATATTCGGGTTCTTAATGCGCAGGTATCTATTGTAACACAGGATTTTGATTGTCTTCAGGACCGACTTTTTCTACATTATGACACCAGAACAAAAAAAAATAGGTTTCCCACCTGGTGTGAGCATCGAAATGATTCTTAAGGTGTGTTGTAATATCAAAATATTTTCCAGGCTTACGAGAAATATAAAACAATATTTGAGGGTTACCAGCGTCATCGTCAAGTAGACACCAACCAACCAACCAGTAAGTCCCTTTCCCGGTTCACTTTAAGAAATTGTAGAATCAGTCACCAAAGAAGAACCAAAACAGTCAAATACCACTGACTTACCTTCAAACGATGATAAAAAAGTATCTGGGTGTCCATCAAGCGTCACAAACTTAACATCGAAAAGTGAAGAGTATGTGTTTGTAAATAGTTTACTTCCAATAACTAGAAATGATGAATTTAAAGTTTATCAGGCAGATCCCGATTGCTACAATGGAGCCAATAGAGATAAATACACATGGAGCCAGACTATCAAGGATATTGATATTAAAATAAAGGTTTTTATGCTCTTAATTTAAATAACTTTATCGCATACAGATACCAGAAAACGTGGATGCTCGCAATATTTCTGTTAATATTGAACGCAAACATATTCGTGTTTCAATTCAAAAAGACAAGAAAGAACTTTTCTGTTTCGATGGGGATTTGTGTTGGGAGATTCACAAGAATGATGCTATCTGGACCTTCCACTCCAAAGAAAATCAAGTCAGTCATCAGTCCATTGCTTATACATCTTGAATTTATGTTCGTGGGACTCTTGTTATTGCTAAAATTAATCTATCAAAATGACCCCATTACTCCCACATGTACTGATACATTTGCGGGTGCCCATATACCTCGTACCGAAAACCTATCACATTTGGTGTACGAGTGTTATTGTATTAGTATATAGATGTTAGCGCGTTAGTCAGTAAATTAAAGTCAATGCAAGAAATAACACAAATTTAATAATAAAAATCACATTTCAGTTATCAAAATGAATCATAATGGCAATATAGAACCTCCAACCTGCAGGTTATTATCAGTCATGTTTTATTTAATTAGATTAAACACGAGTCCATAACCTAGTCAGTTAGTCCATGTTTTGGTTGCTTCTAGTCTCCATTGTTTCACGTAAAAATAAACTATTTAAACTCACGTAGTTAATATGTTAAACAAAGCATACTGTCTTCCTAAAACCTAGGTGCTGACTGCTACTTTCCCTCTGAAGTATGTTACCAAACCATATCGTTAACTAAGACACACTGAAAGCAACTATAACTCAAGTGTCATGATCACTCGGTTATAAAGTAACAAATATAAATTGAATTAATCTGAAATCGACTTCTCTTAAACCGTGAGAATAAAATTACTCTGTACCTTTCTTTCTACGAACTCACCCTTCCTTCCTGTATCATATTCTTATACACAATCTTTCTTTTATATATTATCACCATCGAAGTTACTACTTCTGTGAATTTGGTGTTCATCTTGTTGTGCTAACGAGGTATGACACCTTGAACTGATGTATAAATGTGCCTAGTCTCACGTTGTAGCGGACTGAGTGACCGACCCGAAAGGGGAACTGGGTTAGTAGTAGTCTCAGCAACCTGAAAGTGTGACCCAAGGGACCACTGTTCGAGGCATTTCGGAAGTCCCTATCGTCAGAGACGGTCACTCGTGGGGTAGTGTGGCATTTTTAGGGTCAAACTTTCCTAACCCCCTCATTTCGTCGTGAGGGCACATTGTCGCTGTAGATGCCGGTTATCTGAGGAAAACATCTTGCTGTCACCACACCTGTACAGTTAACAGTACGACTTCGCCCTCGAACCAAGAGCTTACTGCTTTTAGTCTTACCGTGCTCCAACCGACCTGTCTGTCATGATCGGACATAAGGGAACAATTGTCCCAGCTGATATACCTCGATGAGGTCAATATGATATTCAAACTCGACCACCACGTCGAGGTAGCAACCACAGTCTACCTGACGGACAGATAACAGTAACTACCTGCTACAATTTCTCTCAGAAAACCGATCATTCCTAGCAGGTAAAAACTTGAGACATAAGCACAGACACTGTTCAAACTGGGAACCCCCAACACAAACACAGTGTTGAACACGAGCGGATTTATCCCCATCACGCATCGTTAGAGAGGTTCGATTGAAAACTGCTGCTATTACTAAAGTACACACATGGATTATGATCATGCCGCAGTAAATATACGCATCTATGCATTTCACTAAACGTATGAAAGTCACAGCAAGAAAATTACTTAGGTGTCAACTGAAGAACATCTGGAACTCAAAACAAATGTCAACCAACACCAAGGTCAGAACTTTCAATACAAATGTCAAGACAGTTCTACTGTATGGGGCGGGAGCCTGGCGAATTACGAAAGCCATCATCCACAAGATACAGGTGTTTATCAACAGTTGTCTACGCAAAATACTTCAGATCCGTTGGCCAGACACTATCAGCAACAATGTACTGTGGGAGAGAACAAACCAGATCCCAGCGGAGGAAGAAATCAGGAAGAAGCGCTGGAAGTGGGTAGGACACACATTAAGGAAAGCATCCAACTGCGTCACGATGCAAGCCCTCACATGGAATCCTGAAAGCCAAAGGAGAAGAGTAAGACCAAGAAACAAATTATGCCGAGAAATTGAGGCAGACATGAGAAATATGAACAAAAATTGGATAGAACTGAAAAGGAAGGCCCAGGACAGAGTGGGTTGGAGAATGCTGGTCGGCGGCCTATGCTCCATCGGGAGTAACAGGTGTAAGTAAGTAAGTAATGCATTTTACTAAACATAGGGAAGTCACAGAAAGAAGATTCCTTAGGTGTCGATTTGAAGATGAAAAGATCAACGACGCATTCAGGGGGAAATTAGCTAAGGACCTAGTCGGGTGTAGAGAAATAGTTCATCTTAAAGAAGCTTGGAAAAATATCCAAGCAGCCGCAAATACAACCGTTGCATCTATCAATTACTGAAATCAAAAAGTTAGGAAAACCCAGTGGATCTCGATGGCATCTACTGAGTTGATAAAAGCCCAAAAAAATCATCCCGACAAGCTTTAAGAATGATAATAAGCAACTATAACTCAAACATGAATCAACAAAATGTTTGCCTAATGGTCGTGGGGAGCGATGAAAAACGAAAAAGAGATGGAGAGGGCAACAACGATAAGTTATAGCAGACAATTGTTCATACTTATCAACGAAGTGGGTATTAAAAGGTAAGTGTTGATGACACCATCCCATTAAAGGACGGGACTATTATTTTTCTAATGTCGTCATAGATGTCCTCCTAGGAATAACACTCTTCATCTAACTTCTCAGGAGTTGATCTCTTCCCAGGATACCCACTAGTTGACTTACAATATTCGAGTGATAGTCCTGTTTAGTAAAGGTGGTGATAAAATTCACTCTTCTGACCGCTTCTATCAACAGTGCAAACATGTGAGAAATGTTGCTTCAAGACTGGTCTGTGTCACCGCTTGAACTATTGATAGGGAGTGAAGTAGTTGAGCGTGTCGACCACTTTGGGAAGTCTTATCAGTCTCGGTAGGTTGGCGTCTCATGAGATCTCGACACAAACCCAGGAAGTTCGGTTGGCCTTTGGCAACTTTCGTCACGTGTTGTGTAGGTGAGATATCCATCTGCTAACCAAGTGCATGTGAAAAATGATCGTTGATCGCAGAAGAGATGCGTAGACTAAAGGTTTTTAATCATAGGTGTCCTCGAAGCATTGCTCACATTTCGTGGAACGACTAAGTGGGCAGTGTGGACGATGAGCATAGGTACTTGATGATGATTGGGGGTCGGTTGTAAATGAATATTTGGTTTTGTACTCCCCTGAGTCAAGAATATGGTTATTGTTTATGTTTAATTCTGAGTATCATTCAAACCCTTTATTCAATCATTTTAATATTACGTGATATAACTGCTGTAACGAATGTTTGCTCAAGTTATTATTTTTTCAATCAAGATCCAGCTGTGTCTTGACAAGGTTCAGGAACGGTGGTGGGAAGCTGCTTTTGATGGAGAAGACAAACTAAACACACGGAAAATCGATTGCTCTCGGCCTATGCACGAACTAGACGATGAGGCGCAGGCTAAAATCCAACAGTTAATGTACGATGAACAGCGCAAACGCCAAGGACTACTTACTAGCGAACAAGAAGTAAGTGTTGATTCTATTAGCATCTGCTGTTCATCCATTTACATTGCTTTGTAAATATTTATGAGATCAAGATTGTAGGAACTATGTTGAGCCCATTGCTACTTAGACGCACCGTTAGGCCATTCAGAACTTGTAAATTATTGGAGATTAAATAATCATTCTTCGTATATGCTACCTTATCAAGATTGTTTGGTGGCTGTAAGGATCCCAGATGTTAAAAGCTTAGTGAATGGTCTTTAGTAATACCTCTATTAAAATTACGAATTTCCCTGTCTTAAGTATTTGAAGTCATAAGAAATCTTAAACAAATATTAAATCGGTATATATGCAAATATAAATCCTGAACATATCATTTTCTTTTCTAATTATTTCAGAAAATGAAAAACATACTCGCCAATGCTTGGAACAAAGAGGGTTCACCTTTTCGAGGAACTCCGTATGACCCTAGTCAAGTCAAAATAGACGGCACAAGTATGCACATTCAAACCCAACCGATGTGAAGATGAACCAAAGAGAACAATTATATTAACTCCATGTATAAGGTTCATAGGAGTCAAAATATGTTGAAATCGTAAAACTGTTTTGTTGATACTAAATAAAAAAGCGAATTTCTTATCCCTACTATTAACTCGTTAATTTTGTAAATTAATGGAACCAAAATTAGGCCGTTAGCCTTTCTGTTACCTGGATTTGTACTTTTAGTTTTTTTCGCTCCAAATGGTTGGAGATTACAGGATCCAACGTCACAACCCCATGTTGAATTAGTCGGTACTAACATGTTGGGCTAAATGTATTTTATGTAAACTTACCTTATCTCATGCAACCAATTAAGCCAGTTGGTGCAACTGACTCTTTCGACCACGTAAAGTTGTGGGTATCGAAATAGCATTAATTTTAAAGTCAAGACATGTTCCTAGTCCTAGTTGTTAATCACTTCTGTCCTATTTAAAGGGCTGGGAAGATATCTACTTTCCCCACCTGTATACTCATCTATTTGAATTTGATGTCACAAACAACTAAAATGTTCAAACCCTGGTTTAAGAAACCAAATAGGCAGTCCCGGTTACATCGTCACTTCAAAAGGACATTAATTGGCGAGGAGTGGACTTAACGATTTGTTAAACCACCCTTGATGCTTAAACTATAACTAAACCTACCTCTAGATTGGAGAAAAATATCAAGACATTCTGTTTGATCTTTGAACAATTGATAAATTGCAATTGTGAGATTACTAAACCCTAATTAAAATGATCAACACCCAAGGAGTAATAGTCAGAAATTATTAGTTAGGACAACCATTAAACTAAGGTAACAGGACTAGTGTGAACCAATAACCTATCAGGTTTTTACATATGATGCCCCTAATAAATAATTGTTTTGACTACTACTCTTCCAAACCATAGGGTTCACCTCACTGGGACTGAAGAATAGCGAATGGCATCCTCGATTTCAAACGTGCTGACCACGCTGAGACAAGAAACGCCATTCTTGAACTGAAACATGAACTTATATCTCAGGTATGAGTTAGTGTTGTAGTTATCATCCGAAGTGTATTCGACGAAATAATGTGTGATTTCACATACCTTTTTAGAACTAATCAATCTAAAAACTCAATCAGTTAGTAGTAGGCACGTAAAATGTAGGTGTCTAGGTCAACGTCTTAGGATCCGTAGGTTGGTTCTCATATCTAATAGATACCAGATAATTCTTAAAAGCTAGCTTGGTCGTATGATAGGTTGAAAAACGAAGTCCCGTGACTGCAAGCTGTGCTAACTCCTAAAGAAAATATGAAAAGCCTAAAGGGTTTCAGTACTTTGTTTGTTTGCTATTAAAGCATTAACTGTGTGGTGGCAATCCACTGATACAAATGTGGGAATTTTTTTGTTTTTCTGTGTACTCGTAAAATATGACCACATGAACTGATGCACTATAGTGAGAACCGACGAAGCAACTGTCCCAAAATAATTATCTTGTTGTTAGCAGATTACTATGTGTTGAGATTAATGACTAATTAAAAGCTAGAGTATGAAGGCTAAAGATACTACTAAATTATTAAGTGGAATGCGTTTTAAGCTAACTTTCGATGTCCGAGTGCTTAAATCACTGAACATTTGTGTGGTGCTTTTGATCCCAAGGAGGTAGTCACCTAGGTTATCCCATATAGGAAAACATGATGGACTGATACCTGTTTAAAACCTTGTCACGGTATCTTTAATTAAAATTAGAGGTCGCATATACTAGTTGCAGAGGGTTATAAGTATGAATTTTCTGGACACATGATTATAAAGCTTTTAAAGTATAAACGAAGCAATTTTGTTTTTGGTGGATTAACATTTAAAATGCACAGAAAGCAATTATATATATATAGCTGTTTATAGTCACCATGAACGTCGTATTGGTAAAGATCATGATACCTATTACACGTATAAATTTCAAAAGTAAAACCGCTAAGTAAGATAAACAGTTAACCAAATGGTGTATTAATTTTTTTACTCATGGTGATCACGTAGCAGACCCAACGCCAAAGAGACGCCTGTTGCTGAATTTGGCATATCTGTAACCTGAATAACTGGACGTGATTTTGGTTTTTTTGGATTCCTTGATCTGCTTTTAGTTTTACATAGTGGGCATATTGGAGCGTTTCGATGAATCAACTGTTGACACGCTTGACATGTCTTCATGGGTGGACATTGTGCAATCAACTGAGATTCGTTTGTATGGAGCAATGACTCACCAAAATCTAGACTAACTGACTTGACCTGATTACGTAGGGAAGTTGACGAAGATTCCGAACTGATATGGTCTAGATTACAATCAGACAAACTTGTATATCTGCGAAAGTTAACCTGGAAATGTTCGTTATTCGGCCACGGTGAAACGCTAAAATTACAATTGTGCACGCCTCCTTCACGCTTATTTCTTTCTTCGTTAAAGGGAAAGTCATCAAGTACTTCACTGTCTAGTGAAAAATTAAAACAAAGTAAGATTAACAACAAGACTGATAAATCTTGATTCCAATTTTTGTTATCAATCTTAGCCTGAAGATTGGATACCTACAGAACATTTAAAGCCAAATTAAACCAGTAATACGTAAAAAAATTTCTGACCGTGGCTACTTACCGTATCACTACTTTACCGTAATGACCCAGAAGGGCTTTATTGGCTGAAACACTTATTTCTGATGTTCTGTTATACCAAGCAGGTTGGTTAAATAGCAATGAAGTATATGAGTATCGTCGCGCAAGCGATTGAATTGGGCTGTTATGGGAGTGAAGGGTATTTAACGAATAAGCAGCTCCTCTGACAACATTGTGTTGCCTGGATGGAACGGCTAGAAATGGTCAGTCCTAAAAACAGTACATTTCACCTCGACACAGATTTACAGTGCCGATGATCAGAAAAGTACAGAGTTAGTACACCCATAACTTACAAAAATCCCGTGTCCCTGTCTTAGGGAGTTGTTATTTGGACCTAGCTTCTGTGCCTTAAATGTTGACAACACCACTTCTAACCTATTTTGCTTTATGAATTTCTTAAGAGACTTCTTTTAAAGTGTGGGTGACCGTGAAGTCATAACTACTCATACTCACCTAGTTAACGATAATATCCATCCTCCATTCCTAAAAATGTATCCTATCGATGCCGTTAACATCTCTTCTGGATACAACTTTTTCTTCTATGTCCGAACAACGCTGACTTCGTGTATTCACGAAGTCTTTTCCTGGTCTTCTAAATCAAGCTCTAAACTAGGTATCGAAACTTTTAGTGTCAATCACACAGAGGCTTCATTAGGTAAGGCTCTAAATTATCGTGTCAGTGACAAATACTGTTTCTGAAAATCATGGAGGATCCAAGTGGTCTTATCTAATCACCTTGGAAGACCAGTGCGATTTACCATTCAAATATCTGGTTATTTGAAAGCTTCCTGCGTTTTCATGACGTGAGTAAGAGAATGAATTTGGAAAGTAGAACAAACTCCGACAAAATAAATTCACCTCAACAGTCTTATATTAAGTGTCCAATCAAATGTAAGCGAGACGTCAGGTTACGCGTAGTTTTCGTCTACGCTTTGATTCACTGCAGTTTTGATGAACTGATTAGACCAATTTACAGGGAGCTTGATCTTTTTAAAAAGCTAGACACTCGTTGATAGTGATCTAAGCATCCAAGTAGGAAAGCAAACCCTAGATAAAGACACTGCTGGACACCAGCACAGATAATGGAGATCGCGTGGTGCACTTATACATAGACGACCATTAATTTTTAGTAAGAACCAACTAAGGCATTGAGAAGCAACACTGCCTGACACAGCGACTTCGACATTAGCTCAAGGAAGTAACTAAGTAAATCCCATCAGATATCGTTCAGTAGGAGACTGCCGCTCCTTCTTGGACACATCTAAAATGTGATCATGCTTTAGCTTCAGAACGCTTCCTTTTTATGGTCCAAGATGTTGCACTGGGAAATCCTGTTAGAACTTAGCTTAACGATAAAGAAGTTGGTTGATGTTAAAAATAAATAAAAAGTCTGAAAACGACAGAAAAATTACACTTCCGTTAGTACTAGGCACAGTTCTTGACAGGCTGTTATTGGCCTAAATGAGAGATTCTCTAGACACCCATGTAGCGACACTGCGGATCACTGTTGAACAATCACTTAAATGAAGCTCGTCACCATACATCAACTTCCCTGACTACGAGGAAGCATTCAACAGCACGGATAGCAGGACCCTGTGGAACCTTCTTCGACATTACGGAGTACCTGAGTCGTCACCATCATGCAGAGCTCCTACGAAGGGCCAAATCGCAGTCTTGCATGCAAGAAATCTCACACGTCCATTCCAAGTGCTTACTCCCGTCTCATACCTTTCTTCTGGTTGTTGGCTGCATTATGAGGACCTCCGGTTCTCGTGAAGAGGATGGGATACAGTAAGATACTTTGGACGCAGCTGGACGATTTGGACTTTGAAGATCATTTAGCCATGTTACCACATGCACAACGATAAATGCACGCGGTTTATCAGTGTTGCAGCAACCTACGCAGAAAGACATTAAAATTCGCAAGTGAGGAAGCAAGACTCTGAAATACAATAGTGAGCATCAAACAAGTCCCATTCGGTGGCAAAGCTCTGACAAAGATGGAAGCGTTTGGGTGCCCACCTGGACAGCATCATCGATAAACATGAAGGACTTGGTGCAAATGTGAAGGCACGAATTGCCAAGCGAAGACGATATTCATACAAAAGAACTGTTACTCAACACCAAACTCGGGATTCTCAACGCAAACATTAAAACAGTTCTATTGTGTTGGGTTGAAACTTGAAAGACTACCAGCACTATCATCAGGTATTCATAACTAGTTGCGACTCAAGGTACTCCAGACACATTGGCTAGACTACTGGCAATAACCTACGCTGGGCAAGAACAAGTCAGCTGCCAGTTGAGGAGGAAATTAAGAAAAGAAACTGGAGATGGATAAGACACTGTTCGGAAATCATTGA